GTTAGAGAAAGATGCTGGAGAATATTCAGGCTGTTCCGGCGACGGAATCCGCCCCAGTCGTCAAGCGCTATGCTCCTCCCAACCAGAGGTATTTTCTATTATTATATTATTGCTTGAATTACGTTACCCACTTCACTTTTCAATTCCTAATATTTCCCATTCCTTCTTTTGCAGAAACCGTTCTGCCAACAGGCGCAAATCATCTGGTCAGTTCACTCCTATCTTTCTTCCAATCAATTGATCCTTTAATTTCTATTTAGATGTCTCAATCACATGCTGTGTTATTATCACTGTCATTCCAAATCGGTATTTAGTAATGTCAAATAAGTGCAGCCCTTTTCACCTAAAAGGGAGTAATGTGTGTGCTTATTTTACTTTTGAAGTCGATCCCTTCCTAATTAGTTGCACAAGTCACGTTTGGTTGCAAATTTCATTTGCTATGGCTCAGTTACTGCCCTATAGTGTTTATCTTTTCTCGATAGAATGGCAGGTAAAAAGTTAAATCCAGTGTTTCTAGTTTGGGTTTTTTCCTGATTTCAAATACCATACTGTAGTTTCAACTTTATTTCGTAACATATCCATCTTTAACACGTGAAAGTGTAACATAAAACTTGTCATTTTGAGGAAAGTAAAAAATAAAAATGACTCCTTTTTACCCTTCTTTCACACATACATGCAGTCCTCACCCCTCACACATCGTCATTCTGCGAAAAGAATATATAAAAAATGGAATAGGTTGGTTATATGGTAATGGAATGAATCTCAGGAGAAAATTTGACAAAGTTTGAACAACATGGTTGGACATTTGAAATTGGGACAAACTGCAGGGTGAGGAACCAAATATAAGTAAGACAACGCAATATAATGAACTTAGCTTTGCTCGCCCTACATATGCATGAAATTATGGGTTTATACAAAGAAAAAAAGCAGGCTTAAGACTGTTCACTCCTTTTAAACTCTTTCTTAATATATCTTACTTTTGTAGTCTTTATGAAATAAATTCAAACCCTAATGATCTTCTTCTGTATATCAAAATATTGTCATGAAAAATCATGAAAACTCTAAAGGCTAGAAAGGAATTTTTAAAAGGCCAAATATAAATTGAATCACCCTCCCCTCAGATCCAGCTCTGTTGACAACAGACTAATGAAACCAGTGTTGTCCTTAGCCTTCAGGCATTGTATTATCGGAGAAAATTCGAAAGAAATATCACATGAGAATAATTGTGAGTTACCCTTACCTATCTGGTTTGCAAAACATATATGCTACCGAACTTCTTTACTTTTTTAATATTAGTGCTATGTTCTCAATTATGGTACTTACTGTTTACAGTGACAAGAACTAAAATTAAGGAAAGAAAAATAGAATACTTGTTTCAGTAACTTTCCTTAATAACACACCACTAATCTCATTTGCATAATTCACACTGAGTAATGGCAAAAACTTTAGGCAAATTTTCTGTTAGTCCCCATTTTAGTTAGTTTGTTTCTAATTTCTAGCTGTTTGGTTTTAATTAACTTATGTAGATCGTCTTGATCGGACAAACAGTGTTGGGACTGAGTTAGAAAAGAATCAAGTCGCTTCTTCAAGAAGTGTTCACATTCCAGATCATGGAGATGCTGGTAGCAGTAATCTTATTAACGAAAATCACCATTCAAGATTCATAGCTTTAGAAGGGTGTGGTTGCAGTGCAGCTTCCCAGCTTCTTAATGATCGTAAGTGTATCCCAAACTTTTCTTGAAGAACTTGCATATATTGAGAAATTGAATATTCTTTCACTCTGATGTTTTCTAGATTTCCTTATAAGCTCTCTAGAAACATTACTGTTTGTTCCTCTGTGGCAATGGCAAATAACGATCGCTTTCAAAAATTAGTAACCATAGGTTTGTTTCAGACTCATCCTCAATAAAAGGAGGTTGAGCAATTATAGTCAGGAGCAGTTAGTGAATAACTAAGTGCAAGGTTGGTAGTAACAGTTAGGCCAACAGAACTAGGAAAGAATGTAAAAGGAGGTGATAGAGGGAGTCAGGAGGATATTGTGTAAGAAAACTGAGAGTCGGCAGAGCCTTTAGGTCTGTCAAAAACCAGGAAGTGTCATTAGAAGAGAATTCAGACCCTTGTATACAATAGTCCTCGGATCAATTATTACCTTTATACCGTTTAACGCATTCTCTTTGTCATAAAATTTCTTACCTTGTTGAGAACCATTTTTGTCATGTTATCATTATTACTTTGTTTCCTAATTTCCTTTACTGAGAAGATATGTATATCATGTAATCATAAAACAAAATTCAAAATTAAAAAGTCCATGACATGACAAGTAAAAAGTAAAATTTTTTACACACACAGTCATCATCCATCTTGGAGCAATAGGAACATGGTAATGAAGTCATAGAATGAAAGTTGATTTCGAAACTGGAATATTTTTTGTAGTTATTTTCAGAAAAAGCTATGTTAGTTTAGAGTAGCTTAGTCAAGGATACGTTTGCTCCCCTACTTTGACTATGATTGCAAGTAGGATTCTTCCTCATCTGGAATCTAGATCCATGACTCGATCATAATTGAATTCAGAGCCATGTTAGTTGACAGAAAAAATTTAGAAGCGAAGTTAGATTAGATGGTCAATGTTCAGTCTATCTGTTTCCGTACCAAATTATAATTAATTCTCAAGTCCAAAGCAATGCCAACATTCTCCTACTTTGTTTTGCTTATTATGAATATATCTTTTCCATTTAATTCTGTCTACATGGTTACATGCCTTTTTGTTTCATTAGAGGTTTTATTGTCCTCGGCATTTTAACTATCCAGCTTTGCACAACACATTAAGTTTATTGGATTGCAAAGAGAAAGGGATGGGTGGGTGAGGCTGGAGTTTGTTCATTTACTTACAAGCTCATTATGTTTTGTCCATATCCGTGGTTAACATTGCCTGTTATCTTTGTTGGCCATAAATTTACGTTTTCAGGTTGGGCAGCTGCAATGCAATCCTACAATAATTCCAAAGACTCATCTGGTTAGTGCCCAACCATCAAAGATTATTTTCTTTTTCCCATGTTATGAACACTTGCCATTTTGTTTACAGTATTTGATGACTATGAAACTCGAACTTGTTCTGTATGTCTAAGAAGTTCTTAGTGTATTAAATTGAGGTCACACTGTACATATGAAATTATTCGGACTGATTTCTTGTAATTGTATTTGTACTTAACTACAAATTTAAAGGGAAGAAAAACTAATATTCTTAACTTCTTCATAAGCTGGCAAGTGGACAAGTTTATTTGACTGAATAGCTTTTCTCTTTTTCTGATAATTTCTTCTGATATAAACCGAAGTAGCCAAAAATCCTGCTCATGTAATTAATATGCATATTATTTTGAAGCATCTATCATGTACGGCTTTGGTAAATACAAGTTATAGTAAATTTTGTGCTGCATAAGAGCTCTCAAGCAGGGCATGAAGCCTGCCTTTTAATTTTCGTGCTACTTTACCTTTTCAGACAAGCCAGTCATGTATTCGAGTGGTGCGTCAGCATGGACTCAGCAGCAGTTTAGACCTCCTCAGCAGGTAATCACTTTCCCTTACCTTTTCATTACATTCTCCTTTTCAGGTTATGCAGCCATCTATAAGTGCTTCTTCCTCTTGTGTGTCACAGCAGGATTTCCTGGCAGAACTTCGTCGCCAAATGCAAAACGCTAATCCTAATTCCACATGATGGCTCACTTGGATGGCTTGTCTAATAAAGTTTTTTGGAAGAACGTGGATTAGCCGACTGCTTTAAGAACACTTCCATGTTTAGCTACTTCTTGTTTTGTCAAACTCGTTACTAATACATGTAACGGAATTTCAGATTATCCTATTTAAATTGTATAAATTGGGGATGTCGCACATTCAGGATTCCTATTTAAAGGTTTATTCAGTATTCTTGCAAACTCTTGATTTCTTTATTTATAGACCTTTTTAAGTTCCAAAAAGATAAAGAAACTAAAAAGCTAAGATACATGAAGTATCGGTTTCGATTAATCTAAGCTAAGTAATTTTAGTCCTTGTTTCTGTTGACATCCCAACACATCCAAGATTAATTATGTGTTACATAAAATTGACAACTGAATATTTTCACTCTTACTTCTAAAGCCGATTGCTACATTGAATTTGGTTACCATGTGATTAAAAATATTGTATATATATATTTTTTTTTAAATCTGTGATTAAATTAGTAATATTTAATTGACAGTCTTGTTTCAGTATTAACATCTAAATTTAACTTACTGGTGTTACAATGATTGAAGTGAATATCTAATATCTGTTACCATCTAGTAATTATCAGTGACGATGAAGCAGTTTAAATGTTGTGATTAAATCAAATGTATATTTCTAAAACAAAAATAAATAACGTCTTTAACCATACTAAAAAGAAATAAAATTAGAGTTACATGCTAACATGATGTCACATATATGTTATTGAGCTTCTATTTCGTATAATAATTACTTACAAGACCGGTAAGAACTAGAAATATTCAGTTTAAACTTTAGAGAAATCGAAAAATTCGTTACAAGAACTAAAATTAATGTTTTTCATTTCACATTGAACCAAAAATACATACTTATAAAATAAATTGTGTGATGTATACCTGGTTTGCTGTTCTTTTTTACCTTAAAGAATAACGAACATTTATCTCAAAAACACATTGAATTAATTTTTAAAGTTCAAATAGGTTAGATAAAGAAAGTCAAGAACATTCATAATTTATGTAGGAAAATATTTTTTAACAACTTTTTTTTTACCACTTAGAACAAAATTATTTTTTAAAATAATTTAGTATTTTAATTTATTTAAGGTTGAAAAATTGACATATTTTTGTAGATGAACTTAAGATAACCCATCATTATTTAGGAGTTAATTTGTTAAGATTGTGTGTTTTTGTCCGTAAAATTAATTTCTCTGAACACATATTTTGTAAGTATTTATTTATAAAATATATTAATTAAATGGAGAAAAGAAGGTTATCTAGATATTTTTGGTCGAAGAGAGAGGAAGAAGAGCAGAGAAATGGTGGTTGGGAGAGTTGCTGTTCCAAATCCTCCCTCCGGTCTGTTCCACAATCCTTCTTCTGCTGCCACCCTCATACCTCCACACATTCGTCTTCTCTCTTTCTCCGCTTCCGCCGCCGCCTCCTCCTCTTCCTCCTCCGCCAATCGCACTCGTCACACGTCCACTACAAAAAGCGATTCTCCCTTCTCAACGTTCGGAAGAGTCAAGAGTCAGAAACCGAAAACTCTGCTCCACAAAAGCAGGGACCGAAGACGCGCCCTTCAAGTTGAAGAAGAAGAAGAAGAAGAAGACGATAATGATGATTATGATGATAATGACGACTACTATGACAATCTCGCAGCCCCAAGAGGAAGACCTTCTCGTTCTGGGTCTCGGTCAGGTGGACGAAAACGAGGAGGATGGGATATCATTCCCAGGTTTCCCTCACAAGCCAAATCAACCACTGACACAAACTTCTTCAGTCTCAAGTCATTTAAAGAAATTGGGTGCGCTGACTACATCATTCAATCCCTCCAAAAAATCTTCTTAACGCGCCCTTCCCATGTACAGGTACCTATTCATTCATTCGCTCCTACCATAATTCACTCATGCTCATATGCTATCTCCTTTTGTTGTTGCTTTAAGCTTTATGCTATTTCTGACAAGTTCGTTGCAATGAGTAATTTGATTGTGTATTGCATGTGTAGGCCATGGCATTTTCTCCTGTTCTTAGCGGAAAGACTTGTGTCATAGCTGACCAAAGTGGTTCTGGAAAGACATTAGCTTATCTTGCACCAATCATTCAGCGTCTTAGACAAGAAGAACAAGAAGGACGTAGTCAATCCTCTTCGCAAGCTCCTAGAGTGCTGGTACTCGTACCCACTGCAGAGTTAGCCTCTCAGGTCAAATCCTCCTTTCTTAATCTGTCTTATTGTTTTGCTTGTTTGAACCCTTTGAGAGTGGTGTAACTCTGCTGTTCATCTAATGCACTATTGCGTGCTTCGCAGGTCTTGGATAATTGTCGATCCTTGTCAAAATCTGGGGCTCCATTCAAATCTATGGTTGTCACGGGAGGTTTTCGACAACGGACTCAACTGGAAAATTTACAGCACGGAGTTGATGTCTTAATAGCAACGCCTGGCCGTTTTTTGTACCTCATGAATGAAGGCTTCTTGCAGTTAACAAATCTAAGATGGTAAAACTTGATCTCTTATTTATTGAATTGTTTACTACCATTACAGATGTTTACATTGATTTTCTGTTTTATCATCAAACGGGCAGTGCAACTAATTTACGCGTCCATTTAGGATATTTTATCTATCCATGCCCTTTTCTTCCTCAACGCGTGTCCATTTAGGATATTTTACCTATTCACGCTGATTGTGAAATTTTTCTTTACAACAATTTGTTTCAGTGCTGTGTTGGATGAGGTAGATATTCTCTTTGGTGATGAGGACTTTGAAATGGCTCTTCAATGCCTGATCAATTCTTCACCGGTTGACACACAGTATCTATTTGTGACTGCAACTTTACCAAAAAATGTTTTCACCAAATTGGTTGAAGTTTTTCCCGACTGCGAAATGATTATGGGGCCTGGTATGCATCGAATAAGTTCTCGCCTCGAAGAGGTCAGGTTTCAGTTGTAACTTTCTTTTCTTTCTATTTCATTTTTCTTGGGCAGAAGACAACATTACAGAATATCAAAAGACTTATCTATGAATATGTTGACTCAGTACGGGAAAATTCAATGGACTTAGTACGAGAAACATAATCACTTATTGTCTCCAACGTGATATTTAAATTGAATTGTTTTACTTAGGAGCTATATATATAGAGAAGGGGAGGGGATACATTTATCCCAAGAATAAGTGTAAGTAATTACTCTTAATCTGATCCTACTATTTTATTTTAGATTAATGATTCAGATTAAGAATATATATGGGCTCTCACGTGAAATTTGTTTTCCACTTCCTAC